ATAATATAACCTATAGCCTTTTTTGATAAATGGACAATCTAACAAAAAATAATATTTAAATTCGATCCAGTAATTCCTGAGATTAGCGCGTCCAAACTTTTTTAACTTTTCAGTTTTATATTATTAAAGTATAAATAAAGTTATATAACTATAAAAACTGTTTGATTTAAAAAACATTATATTTTTTAAATAAATAAATAATATTTATTGTGTATTATTGAGAACTTCTGTCACAATTTAGTGCCACACTTTTGTATATTATGCTATTAAAAAAATATATGTAAAACACAATTTGACTTACCTTAATTCMTTGAACAGAATAAAAAAATAATTTTTTAATGCTTTGTATTCACGGTAAATTCGATTTTATTAATTCAGTTATTAGACATTAATTTTAAATACTATTGAATTCCTTTTTTTATCTTAAATTTTTGTAACTCTGTTGAACAAGTATTCCATTACTGTGATATCTCGCACTCTGACGTTGAGTTTAAATTGCTTTTATATGTAATTTGGATTATGCTTTATTCTAGTTAAATGTATATTATGGACTTTAGTATTTTAACACACATATTATACTTATTATGTGTTTGTTTGGCCATTTTGAAAATATATGAGGATTTAAATTCGTATTAATGTTGTAAACTGAAAACGGAATACCTACAAAGAACAAATACAAATTTACAAAATGTCGTATTTGTGATTTATTTATTTTATATGAATCGCTGGTAAAAATTGTAATTATATATAATATRTTTATATGTATGAATATGTATACATTTTATTTCAGTTGTCTGTTATGAATTATTCAATTGGTACCTGCAGCATACAATGAATTAATGTACTCATATCTGGATTATATTTACACAGGACTTCAGTCTTTTTACTTATTTTTTTTATACAAAATAAAAAACAAAACAAAAACCTATGTAAAAATACATCCTTTATCAAAAGGACATAAATGTATTATGCATAAACGGATGAAGTACTTTTTAAATTCTTTAATGGTCCTTACGTTCAGGCGCGTAACACCCGAGTCGTTCTCTTTTTACAGATTTAAGCACTTCTTGTAATTTTGAAGTGTACGTTACCTATTTTCTGCCAGTTAAAGCCCAGTTTAATATGATGCGTAAAATGATATTTTTACAACATATTATTACCTATGTGTTTCATTACAAAATGCTCAAAATTAAAACAAACGTAGATGGTAAATAATTATAAATACCAAAATAAATGCTAGTATTTGAGTAGGATATACGATACTTAAACATAAATACATATTATATGTTTACCATTTCCAATAATATTATTGCATATATCGATAGTCTTAACTTTTAGATTAAATCATCTTAATCCACAATATGTTTTAATTCTATTAAATTAGGTAGGTACTATTTTACTGTCTGCAAAATACCTCCAGGTGTCACTGATACCGCGTCAGGTATACTATTGTACAATCATATAGCTTATTGAAATTCAATAAGTGAAAACTTGATTCAAACTTGAATATTAGTACTAGATATATTGTTTTTAAGTAATTGCTAATTACTTATTAGGTATATCTACCGTGCACAATGATATTTGCAGAAGACCATTTMAAAAATGCCAACAAAACCATATAGATTGCCTAAATCAAAAACTAAAATAAAATTAGTGAGTAATAATGATTTTAATTTCATGAAATGGACAACATTTGTACCCTTTATCTAAAAAATCGTGTACGTTATTTCGAAATAATAATATTCATATAACAAAAATCCAGTTCGTGAAAATTTTGTCTACACTTGTGGATGTGATATATATTATATATATAGATATATACGTTATATAAACATAGCTAAATACACTGATACGTTCTCAATCGTATAAAATATCGTACAGTCAGCTCGAGCCCGTTTTTTTTATTAATATGTTTAATTATTACGTATGAATTTTCAAGCAGACAATTAGACGACATATCAGTATGTATTTTACCAACATTTATAAATACCTATTTCACAGGTATTTATCCCTTCATTATAATCAACATCATTATGAGTATTATAACTAATATAACTGTTAAGATATGTGCATATGAATTATGAACTCGTTCGCAATTATCTATACTGATAAGTGATAACCGTTTAATACTTCTAAAGTATCGGAAATCAGTCTTCGCAAAGTGATCAACGCACTCTAAGCTAAAAAA